CTTTTTTCTTATGTGGTGCTGAGGAATCGAACCCAGGGCCTCATGCATGCAAGGCAAGCATTCTACCACTGAGCCACCTTCCCAGCCCCAGACCATACTTTTATTGTGTGAATTGATACTGGGACTTTAACTCATAGCAGCATCGCTCCCCCCTCTCTCCCCCCCACGCCCCCAATCCAACTATACTTAAAAAAAGAGGAAAGGACTCAAGCACCAGTGGTTCATGCTTATAATCCTAGCTACTCAGGTGGCTGAGATCTGAGGATTGCAGTTAGAAGCCGGCCTGGGATGGAGAAGTCCGTGAGACTCTGATTTCCAATTAACCACAAAAAGCCAGAAGTGGAGCTGTGGCTCAAGTGGTAGAGTTCTTGCTTTGAACACAAAAGCTCAGGGACAGTGCTCAGGCTCTGGGACTGGCAAAAAAAAAAAAAAAAAGGAAAGAGGAAAGAAATGCTAAGAGAATGTTGATTTATAATGATTTCAATTAAATGAGTTGCAATAATTTGAAACTGACTCTCTTTTTTTTTTTTTAACAGGTAGAGTGATAGCTACTTTCACATGTTCTGGAGAACAGGAAGTCAATTTAGCTGTTGAAAATGCAAAGGCTGCTTTTAAAATATGGAGTAAAAAATCTGGTATGGAGCGGTCCCGAGTCCTTTTGGAAGCCGCCCGGATAATAAGGGTATGTCTATATTGTACTTGGAGAAAACTCATCTTACATTGTTTTGAGTTTTTTTTTTTTGTAGCTAAGGTTTTAAACCAACATTAGGCTTTAATGTTTTTATGAAATGGAAAAAAAATTTCCATATGAGTACCTTTAGATATCAAGTAGGCTTTTACTCAGTAATTCTGGTCTACATCTTGGCTCTTAGATATCTTCCTTGGCAGGTTTTCTTTTCCTCATTTGTTTTGAATTGTCTCTTTCTCTCTCTTTTTTCTCTTGTGGCACTAGATCATGGTCTAGTCTGACCCAGGCAAAAAAGCAAGACCCTGTGTCAAAAATAGCCAGAGCAGAATGGGCTGGGGGAAAAAAAAAGAAAAATGTAACTACTAATCTGTGCTTGGTGGCAGATAAATATAAGAGACACTTATCTGCAGTTAAGCTGCAAAAAACCTGAACTAGAGGTGGGGTTTAAGTGGTAGTTTAGAGGTGGGGTTTAAGTGGTAGTTTGTTAGCCATGATTGAAAAAGGTGAGAGCACACAGCCCTGAGTTTAAGCTCTGTGTGTGTGTGTGTGTGTGTGTGTGTGTGTGTGTGTGTTGTAGTGATGATAGACTATACTCATTAAAAAAGTTAGAAAATTACAAAGAATATACACCAAAAATAGCAACCATTGATATCTCTGAGTGGAAGATCGTGGTGATTTTTTTAGGGATCTCTAAATACAATAAGCCACACTTTTGGGAACAGTGTCTAGAGACCACCAGAATGGTTGCCTTTGACATGCAATTATAGTCTTTCTACAATATAGCCAGTTACAAAACTAGGCTGTTCTGAACCCCTGGCAATAGAATTATTTACTTTTTTTTTTTTGGGGTCCAGTTGCGGGGCCTGAACTCTGGGCCTGGGCGCTGTCCCTCAG